AGTTTGCTAATCTAAATTAATATAATAAAACAACTAATAAATTTTTAATGGAAAACTTTGAACCTATTATATTTTAATAAAGAAATAACTTAATAAATGTATGAGTAGTTATAAAAAATTAATTTTATGTCATCATATATGTATATTTATATATATTTTATTAATTTTTTTTAAATAAAAAATTTAAATCCTCACAATAAAAGTTATTTTTCTTAAAGAATTCAATTATTTTTACTGTATCCCGGTTTCAGTGTGTTATAAATATAAAATATGTAATGTAATTAATCATTTTTAATTTTTTTACCGATGATAATATAATTGATTATTATTGTACTTTTAAATTTAAATGTAAGAATTTGAATTCATTCATTAAATGTTCTCACTTTATTAAGTCGTCTTAGTCTTAAGGTATTATTTTACGACACCATAACATAAGACTTAAATGTGATGCTACTTCAACGACAAGTTTATGCTAAATAATGAATCACTCTATTATAAAAAGAAGTAACTACGTTAATTTCTATCAAAATTATACTGTGCAATTATAAATATACACTTGTAAATTCTGTAAATTCATATAAACTTCCGTAATTATTACAAAAACTTTTAAGAAATAATTAAGTTTAGTGCATAACATTTAAAAACAAAACCGGAAAAGATCTTCAATCATCCCCGCAAGCATGATTTCCTTAAATTTAACATGATGTGATACATTCTTGTGCTTTGATGACCTACGGGCTTCTTAACGGTACAAAATAACTTGTGACCTATTCATCAAACATTCCGCACCAATAATACGAGGCAGCATTGAAGTTTTTTGTTAGTCTTGGTATGACAACAATAGGTAAAACCACAATATGACTTACGATACTTGCACGTACCAAATGGATTCTATAAACAGCGTTAGTTAGTAATACAAAATTGATAATGGTTTATTTTTAATAGAAATAGAGGAAAATGTTGTGTGTAAAACTACAATATTACTATAGGCGAATCGAAAAATGATGACAATATTGTATGGTGCCGATGAGTCCGAAATAATTAAATTCTCTCCTGTAACACATTATTATTGTTAAAACGTTCTTAACGGTTTTTTACGGACCGGCCATAACACCGTTTAAATTATACATTACTGCACCGCGTGGTCCGGGTACAGTTATACGTATGGAACGTGTGGTTACGACTTCGGTAGCATACGAATATAATGTACTTATATTGTTTGTATAGAGGAAGTAATGATGATGTGTACTTTTTGGTTTTCTAATTAGTGATTCATCGAAATATTACGTGAAGACATTTTGCACTACCATTAAGTCTTATGAAGAAAAGATTAAGATATTTCCTTATTACGCTATGAGACTCCGAGGCAATTAATAGTCATAAAAATGTGTAAATGAATAAGTTATTCACCGATTCGCAAACTAAACTAATAATCGTGAGTGTGTTGACTCACATATGATTGATTTTTACAGATGTGGCCTATCAAGCTTACACGTACGAAACGGGGTTTTCGAGTCTGTACTCGGAGATCTAGTCTCTCGAGTAAGCATGGGGCCGAAAGGTTTGTGGTCGACCTTGAAGCCCACACCGCATTCCAAGAGTACACGTTTAGTGCTCATGTGTGTGCAATGTATTTTCATGATATGTTGGTACGAGGGTGTTAACGGAGATTGCCGCCGCATTTTTGAGAAAAACACATTATAACGAGATAGAAAAATAACAATAATTATTGTGTGCGTCTGGGATGATCACACGCTACCGCACCTTACAATATTAAGGGATCACATAATTCAACTTAAAAAACCCTCCTTACCTGCGGTAAGTAGACAATTTGTGATTACAATGATGACAGTCGGTTGTTAGAAAGGCAGTGTCATCTTCCTGATATATTTTTATGAAAGATTCTTGGCTATTAGAATCAAAACCATGAACATGTATTTTATGCCAAGTTCAAAGAGGTTGTCTGCACTTAAATCAAAAAGTCGTCAGCGGGTTGACGACAATCGAGTATAAAATAGGAAGTGAAAATCTATACCGGATTACTCATACAGTCGAGAAAAAGTGTTCGGGCCTTCATCATTTAGACGCATTTTTTTTTTTTATTTGCATCTGGTGAAAGTCAATATGTCCGCCGTTAGTTTTACAGGTTAATGCAATGCATTGCTATTTTTCTGTCTCTCTTCGCCACCTCCGACAATTCCCTTTTTTAATACCATTGCCAAGGACATAAAAATAACTCGTATTCTGGTTTTAATTAAAGTCGATATAATGTAAATCACTTTGCCCCCTTGTTTATAAAATGTTGCCAAACTACCATGACCAAATAACCTGTTGACTTGCATATATCTGAAATAAGTTTTATAAAATATCTCAAAATCGTCACTTTGATAAAGTAACGTTTTACTTTCAGTATATGTAAACACTTTGTGAAAATGTAAAAAAAATTTAATGGATTTCACTAAATATGTTTAAATTTAAAATAATTTAAGAAATCAACACTTGACTAGAGTAAAATACTTTTAAATTTATCATATATGATTTATACGCCTCGTTGTTTCTATTGTTTTATTAGAAGACAAATTATTATTACGATTTAAAACAATTAATGCGTAACCTAATTTCTAAATACCAATACTAAGTTTCATCAATTGATGTCTAATTTCTACAACAACTACTATAAGACTCACACAGCTTCTTGATTGTAAGAACAGGATATGGACACTATACAGGCCACTGAAAAATGATAATTAAACTTGGAAATAATGTACGCTTAAGATATTATAACAGTAAATACATTTATGTTAGCATATTCAGTAATATATTAACTTTAGTAAGAATATTTATATGACGAACTAAATACTAAATTAAATGAAACATGTTAGAATAAATGAAAAATAATTCACAATTTTCATAATATTATGTTACATCATTACTAATGAAACTTTTTTTAGTATAATTTAAAGTATATTTACGAATTAGGCACACTGTTGTACGTTGTAAAACTTAGTATGAAATTTTTAATTATAAGTTTTCTATTTTTCGTTTTTAAAGATTCTAAACTTCATACTTTATTTTGGAAAAATTATTATTATTTTTCTTGATATATCTTTTTATGACTAACCTACTAATTTTAATGGTATATTATGTACTGTATGTATAATAAAATATGCACATCAATCACAATTTGTAATACATTACAATATTTTATGAATTAAGCCTAAACTTTCAAAATTTGTTTAAAAATGAAAATTTTTGGTGAAAAAACTAACAACATTGTACTGGTATAAGTGACAATTACCATAACAGCTGTAATTATTGTTATTCTACTAGAATGGGCAACATTAGCTCAATATATTTTAAATATCACATTATTAATCACTTATCAATAATAACACTCTATATGTTTTTATATACTTCAATACTTTTTTATAATTATGTTTAAGGAATATAAAAACCATAACTGATAACAAGAGTATTGAAAAGATAGATTTCCTTTCTTTTTCTTTTTATTTTATTATAGAGAGTGAAGTCATTTAAATGCTACAAATTATCATTAACATTTTTTTTTTAATAAATTTTATCAATATAATAATAATTATATTATTTTAATATTTTTTATGCTAAATTTTTCTAAATTTGTTACTTTATGAAGTAATTATCTCATAATCTTTCTTTTTACAGCAATGTTAGTTATGTTAAATTACATAATTTCAATTATTAACTCCGCTAAAATGATCTTCATCATTCTTGTTAACACGACTCTTACTATTAACTGTATTAAAATTCTATAATAGATCAGTTGGGATCTAATAGTATCTAGGTGTGCAATTATTAGAGTTTAATTCCATTGAACTGTATATATATATATATTGACCAATAGCTTATAATAGTGGACTTTGAACATAAATATTTTTTAAAGTTCAATATAAATTCAATTTAAAATTCAAGATACTAGAAATCATTTTTTTTTTTAATATAATTATTCCTAGAAAATATTAATAAATAACATTAATGGTAATATTACGGATTAAATTTTAAATCGTTCTGATAATATATTAGACAAAAGTAAAGTATTAAAGTTGTTACTGTCTAATTTTGTTTTTCATTAAAATTGATGGTCTAATGAAATATTGTGTCTTTTCAAATTATAACTTATATTATGAAGAAGAATTCAAACATTTTCATCTTGGAAAGATAAGCATAGTAATATTCTCTGTTATGTTTTTGATTGAAGGTTTTTATAAGAAATGATGTTGTTTAAAACACATAACTTAACCATGTTAAGCCATATGTTTAAACCATGTGAATTTATTTATAACTAAATTTTATTTTAACTGTAGTACCATTTTATAACAAGTCAATCTCTCCTGTGTTATATGATTTAAATTTCTCTAACTTTTGGTAAATATTGTTAAAGTCCATTTTATTATATATTACAGACGCTGGTAACTTTAATTTTTAAAGAATATAGAGTTAAAATATTTTTAATAAATTAATGACAATAAAAATTAATGTAGTATTAAAAAAATATTTCTTGATAAAATCAGTAATATACCTGATAAAATGATCTTTGAAGGTTTTATAGTAACTTGAAAAATTAAGTTTTATGCAAATAATTTTTTTCTTTGTTACAAAATAAAATATTGTAGGGTTATGCAAAATTTGTAGCTTAGAGAACTTTTTCAATTAATCTTCTGATGACACTGGCAGAAAGCTTGTAGAATATTTATCATAATTTTATATTTTTTATGTTAATTACTGGTGTTCTTTGTAAAATTATAATTGCTCATGAGAAATACGATTAAATGTAAGGATAATACAAAATTATCTTAATAATATATTAATATAATATATATATATATATTTCAATTTTTCTTATTAGTAGCAATTGCCACCACATTGCAGGTATTAAATGTTTGGTTTACCTGTGGATGATATGGTAGGGGTACACCTGCCTGTCTTGGCCAACAGGTTTCTTCTATCTAGGCAGTTAAGTACAATAACCCGTATCGGCTGGACGGCTCCGAGTAGAGGTGTCGCAATCCGGTATTTTTTAACAATTTTTACCTTTTCGAGTAAAGTGTTCTTATTTATCAGCTGGTGTTTGTTTTTGTTTAATTTTCATTTTTATAGTATACAGTGATAAACTAGTGAGCCAATATTCAAGTGAAGTGCTATTATTTTCTTTGAAGAACATGTTGATTTGAAGGATTAAAATATTACAGAAAAAAAGTCCACAGGTTAGAAATTTACAAAGATTTAATGTTTTAATTATGTTCTAGTTTAAATCAACAAAATTTATTGATATGACTATGAATATATAAATTTAGGAGTTACTCTAAAATTTGTTAAGACAATTTTTGTTATTTTTTTTTGGTATATAATTTATTTTCATCATATCTGAAGCCTTAGTCATGAATAACTTTTTAATTAATTAGTTGATTAAGTTACAAAGGGTAACCTATTTTTGTCTGTGTCAAATGATACTTATTAGAACTTGTTGATATTATTCAATGATGCATTCTTACACCATGTGACAATGTTGTTAAAAGAGCAAATCCTTGTGTTAACATGTTTTATGAACGTTCATAAATGAGATCTAATTTACGAACATTATATATCTCTGCAACGTAAAAGGGTTTTCTTTATTTTATTTATCTAAAGTCAATCTGACCGTGGATAATAACATTTTGTATTTAAATATAGGTCAACGGCACCAAAGTTATAGTATCTAATTACACGGTACATTATCAGATATGTTACGTCGATCAAATATGATTTTATTCAGAAAATATAATAGTGTACATCAAGTTTTCCAACTCAGTGGGACTGTTTACTTCAACTTCTATACACTATTTATAAATATTTATTTTACAATAAAAAAAAATCGGATATTTTATAGCATTCAGCTTCAGTTTTAATACTTACACAATTGCATGACTGAAAACTGTACAGAATTTTATGATTTATTGCTTACAAAAGGAAAACATATACCTACACATTACACCTGTATGATGATCAGTAATTTGTTTTGTAGAAAACGTCCCTCCTACGCATACCAGAGGGATTCGGGGTAAACAACTATTGTGTTGAATTATAAATTACGTTCATTTTTTCTCACCCTCTCGTTATATATTTTTTACATCGGTCCCTCACTAGATATTATATGTTTACTTGGCAACTCAATTCAACTGTAAAGTGGTTATTTACCATCATTAGTTAGGAAGTCGAAGTATTCATAAGAAGCATTAGATGCGTTTTATAAAACAAGTAAATTCACTGATTGAAAACGATTTTAGGGTAATCGAACCACTTTCATTTTATCTAAAATGTATTCACATTTTTAACCTATTATGATTATCAATTGCAGAGCTGTAAATATAATAACTTTTATGGTTGATGGCTTGTGAAAGTAAATTTATTTTAAAATGATGCATTATTAATAATTTTATGTCGTCTCATTCTACTAAAAAATACTGTCTTGATAGTCTTACAGTAATATGACAAAAATTGTTCATTATGCTTAAATTTACTCTAGCACTATATCTAATCTACTTAACGATATTGTCCTACATTACATTATTTTTCATTCATTTCATTTATTTAGAATTAATTCAATTTATTTTTCTTGTGAAAAATTGTTTTTTTATTATTACAATGTGGATTAATTATTTGGTATCATTGAAACTTAAAAATATTTAATATTAGCTTTCACAATTCTATTTCTTTGGTAGTATGACACGATTTATTGAACTTGACCTAAACTATCGACATAGGAACTATAATATGTTAATAGCTTTATAGAGAAAATGGATGTCAGGAAAACAATTATGTATATGAATAGCACCTATTCGCCGCCGGAAAGTAGGAACACCAAAATGACTGATAATGACTCATAGAAAATAAACTTTTACAATCCGGTACCCCGGAGATTTAAATAGCAGTACATGAATGAAACACAATTAACGTTGTCTAAACACTTTAATTTGTTCAGTTATTTTTACCACGTCGTTTCTAAATATACATTTTACTACGATAAATATTTTATTGTATATAACTCTAAGGCAACAAATATTCGTTTTAGGATTCTACACCATTGGAATTTATTAAACTTCAAAATTATAACAGTATAAAATTTATTATGTCAATCAGAAATTATGAAGTCGAAAATAACTTTATATTCTTTATGACAATTAACAAAGTGCTCACGAAACACTTGTGTCACAATAAAATTGTAACTGTGTGTCGTTCTTTGTTTGTCTCCAATTCATGTAGCACTGCGGTTATTTAAGTGTTTTGTGGTTTTTGCAGAGTTGTTATACTTATTGTAATTATTGTAACACGGGGTAGCCACGTTAAGATGTAATAATTTTTTCGTTAGATTGTTTACCTTCTGGCTCGTGTATTGGCGATTTTTAAAAGTCATCGTCCCAACTAACGATATGTATTTTAATTTTCATGGTCGGCTATATCGTCAAAATCTTTTGTGTGTATGTATAATACTGTTATTATATGCAATGGTACGCATATATATCGCACACTAGACTCTTCAGCTATAATAACTTGTAGAGTCTAGTATGAATTGATTATAAGAAAGAAAAACAAACAATTAGTCGAGAATGAATAGATTATATTCTCATCAGTATCGATAGAAGAACACACAGACGATACGGTAGCAAATCCAATTAATACCACTAATTGATAACGGATAAAGTGAACCGTGAATAATGGTGCGAGCACTGCGGGATGCGCTGCGAAACAGATAGTTTTCGATCGAGCGACTGCAGAATATTAAAGATAACGCCACTGTGTGTTGGATCTTCGGTCGGTCAAAATCACGAACCTTGTACAAATACATTCACACGATTTAAAAGCCACGGATATGCTCTAGTTGTACACTGAGGACTTTTTTAAAGTTTAAATACTTACAAACGATCTTGTTACACGCTTAATACTGGGACGCATCGTCATTACCATTATATTTGGTGTAATGCATATACATCATAAAGTAACATTTACGTCTGCTGTAATGAGTTCCAAATATCAAGAAAAACAATGTTACTAGTGCGAGACAAATTTATGAAAAGAAATGAAACATTTTTCATAATGCACTCCTGGCTGGCTAAATTACTATGATGTGTCTTCACTCGATTGTGCGGTTTTTCGGTCCAGTTGTTGGCGTTGCGATTAAGGTGATAATATAATTGCAGCGGTGTTAGTGGAAAATTCGGAGGCTATGTACGATGTTCTCCAACCACAATATTTCTGATAACCCCAATGTTTTGTGAATGCATTAACATAGAATAAGCTACTAGCTGAAAACATAAAAGACCTAAAAAATATATTGTTTTATATTAAATATAACAATACTACCCACACAGTGCAATAGTTTTATGCAGATATTGTTGACTAATTAAATTTCATTAACATCGCCTGATATAAGCTATATACAATAGAAGTATAATGCTCGAGTAAGGTGTGTTAAGACGTGTTCAGCAATCGACTTTCGTCCTGTGGGTATGGTTGTGACCTGTCCTATAATATTGTCAGAAGACGCTTCACGAGTCAATTTTTTCATCATTCTATTGAATATACATAATCGTTAGTTACCGTTACCTATGCACTATATATTTTTAATAGTTTTAAATACATAGCCTTCAATCAATGACCGGTCATTTTGATGAGAAAAGTAATCAGCATTACTGCTCCTGTCTTACTAAATCGTAATTTGACGTCGATCCTAAAAAAACGTTTCTGGTTCGCACATTCTATTGGACTAGGTGTGTAATTGTTAGCGAGTCAAAAAAAGTTCATTAATAATTATACATATCCATTGGGGTTAGCTTGTTGCGAGTATAGTAATTTTATAGGCATGACCCCCGCAGACCAGCCTGTGGCCGTAGGTTTACGGAGGGCCTCGACGCATTTCTTTACGCGTAAACCGGTTGTTGGCCCAGTGACGTAGCTTGGCGATGGCGGTGCGGTAGAGGAAGTTGAGAGCATCGAACTCCATGCTGTTTGAGATGAGCTGGCACCATTGGTGGTAAATGGTATCCGTGGTCAATACAACAGCGTCGGCGACGTGATGCCAATACTCGCCTTTCCATGACCGGACAACCAACTCCTTCTTCTTTACTTCATGTCCATATAAACTCCGATACGTAAGGTATCGTTCGGGTATAAAAACAAATGTTTTTTCAAGTTCTCTGAAATATTGTCTTTTTGAAAAGGATTATTAATGATGAGTTTATTGAGTCGTATTTCATCGTTATATTTGTTCTTTATCGTAGATCGACTATTAATCTTACATTGTCCAATATCCACCGAACATTAGGCCTTTTTTTTTTAATTTTAATTAGATGATACGCAATCATAATCATTATGATCGTCCTCCGGGTGTTCAACGAACTTAGACCATCATTATTTTGTAATAATAGTCTAGGTTCGATTAGTTTTTTAAACTCACGAATTTACATAGGTTATATTCCATATAAAAGTGAATCCGTGCGACGCGATGCCAATATTCCGTGACTTTGTAAACATTATTATGTCAATCACATATTATTTTCAACTATCGACAGCCTTGTGTAAAATATCATCAACGGAGTGGTACGTTATTTTAAAAAATTTATATATTTCTCCTGCAAAACCACAAGTCGTTTTAAAACTAGGCACTGCATTCTCAGTTTCCCATAAGAGCAATAGCAGTAATTATAACCAAGTAGTTCCCATTAGAAATAATTAATTAATTCTACGCTAAGGTAATTGATTGTTCAAACGCGGCGCCACGTCAAGTATAAGTTAAAAATATAATACTTATTAACGTGCCAAACTGCGTCATGTATTAATCTTCACGGACATAACTGTTTAAACTTGATCGGCTCGACCTCCTGATGTTTTCGTGCACCGAACCGTCTGGGAATATTCACGTGTGTACTGAATTTAAGCTGACAAGAATTTTTCCTAAGGCGAAATCCTAACAACAACTCGATCACTACGTAGACGTAAAACAACTATCCAAACTCATCTAAATTAATTGCAGTGTACAGTTAAATTAGCCAAAACGTCTTAAATTTCATTTCAAATATCTATGTTGCCTATACACAGTCTTACAATATCCACTATTCGCAATAAAAAAAAACTGAGTATCCATTTAAATGAGAATTAGAACAGTTTTCTAGATTTATGGTCAGATTGTAACGAAAATTATAGTTCAATTATTGTTTTAAATTGCACGTTT